TCCTGGGCGGCCATGTGTGAGCTGTGTCGGCGGCACAGCGCCCCCTGCTCCATGGTGCCCTGTGTGGCTGCAAAGCTTGCACATCCCTAAGGTCGGCCGTGTTTGTACATTACCTTAATCTCTCGTGTTATGTGTCACAAACTGTCTTGCCTCCATCGATAACACGAGATCTAATCACTTCTCATTACTCAATAATAATAATAACAAAGTATTTAACCAGGAAATGTTATGTAATATTTTGACTAAAATAAACAAGCTGTGACCAAGGCCGGCGCTACCATTAGGCGAATAAGGCATTCGCCAAGGGTGCCAGCCTGTTGGGGGCACCCCCACTGTTGATTTCCTGGTGGGCTTCCCGGCGGCAATTTGGGCTGGTGTGCTGGGCGAGCGGCTCCTAGGCCATCCCTCCAGCGCAGCCATTCATCTTCTGGGCTCACTCTGCCTCCAATTACCTGTTTGGGGAGCTGGATGCGCTGTATCCCCAGCATCCGAGCTGAGCATTCTACATCCTGCAGAAAGGGGAAGCCGGACATCACCTGGTATCCCGGCTTCCCCATGCTTGTAAATAAAGGAAACACTGTGAAGGGAGCAGGAAGCAACCTGTGCTCAGAGTGCAAGGCTCTCCTGCTCCCCCCACCAGGAACAGGCTGGAGGGTGCTGCTCCTCTTTCCCTTTTCCTTCATTCACATCACTTAGGTGTGGCCCATCTGGAGCTAAGATGATTGTAAATTGAGGTGTGTGTGTGTTTTAAAATGCTATGTTTGTGTATATATAAAGTGTGGCTATATCTAAAGTGTTGTGAATTTGTGTTTGAGTGACAGTGTATGTGTGTGTGCAAGTGACACTGTGTGTGTTAGTGAGAGTGTGTGACACTGCATGTGTTAGTGAGAGTGTGTTAGTGAGAGTGTGTGACACTCTGTGTGTTAGTGAGAGTGTGTAAGTGACACTGTGTGTTTAAAGGAGAGTGTGTAGGTGATACTGTGTGTATGTCAGCATGAGTGTTTGTTACTAAGAGTGTGTATGTGATACTGTTTGTGTATGTCAGTGAGAGTGTGTTAGTGACACTGAATGTCAGTAAGTGTATAAGTAACAATGTCTGTGTCAATGAGATTGTGTAAGTGACACTGTGCATGTCAGTGAGTGTGTGATACTAAGTGTGTAAGTGACACTGTGTGTGTACATCACATGTGACACTGTTTGTATGAAAGTGTGTGTGTGTGTTACACTGTTAGTCACTGAAAGTGTGTGTTAGTGAGAGTGTGCAAGTGACACCGTATATGTCAGTGAGAGTGTGTTACTAAGTGTGTAAGTGACACTGTGCACATCAGTGAGAGTGTGCAAGCGACACTGTGGATGTCAGTGAGTGTGCGTTACTGAGTGACACTGTGTGTTTAAGTCAGTGAGAGTGTATAAGTGACACTGTATGTCGGTGAGAGTGTGTTACTAAGTGTGTAAGTGACACTGTGCACGTCAGTGAGAGTGTGCAAGCAACACTGTGGATGTCAGTGAGTGTGCGTTACTGAGTGACACTGTGTGTTTAAGTCAGTGAGAATGTATAAGTGACACTGTGTATTAGTGAAAATATATAAGTGATATGGTGTATGTCAGCGAGTGTGTTAGTGAGTGTGTAAGTTATACTGTATGTATTAGGCAGTATGTGTGTATGGATATATGTATTAGGCAGTATGAGTATATGAATCTATGTATTAGGCAGTGTGTATGTATTGGGAAGTGTGCATGGATTTATGTATTGGACTGTGTGTGTATGGTTGATTGCGTATATAATGTGTATATGGATGCTTATACAGGATGAGTGTGTTTATATTGGGCATTGTGTGTCTTTACCTAACTGTCTGCTCACTGTGTCTCTCTCCTAAAAAGTCTCCCAGTCTCTGATTCCTAAATATCTCACCAGTCTCTCTATCCTTTCACTAAATGTCTCCCGAGGCCTTTTCTGTTCTCTAAATTTCTCACTTAAAGGGTTGCTATAAAGCCAGGAATACAAAGCTGTGCTCTGCCTTCCCCCTACCTCGTACCTTCCCCCACTGCAGTGAATAAAGGATTAAAAACCCTTTATTTACTTACATGCTCTAATGTCCCTCGGCGCTGGGTTGTGCCTCCGTCTCCCTAACGCTACTGATGAGGGGGGCGCAAATGTTTACGCACAGCGAGTACCACATGTATTAGGGCCCTCCCCATAGGAATGCATCTATGGGGAAATAGCTGACGCTTGCTGTCCTCATGCAGACCAAAAGTCCGTTAACATCCAGGAAGCACGTCCAGTGGCTGTCTAGCAGACAGCCACTGGGGTCAGACTTGGTCCTGCAATCTAAACATTGCAGTTTCTCTAAAACTGCAATGTTTTCTATTGCAGCACTAAGTGCAACAAGGACACTGCACCCAGACCACTTTAATGAGCTGAAGTGGTCTGGGTGCCTAAAGTGTCCCTATAATGGCTACCCTTTGCGTCTCCTTCCCTAAATGTCTCTTCTTTGCAATTCAGCATTTAGTGAATAGACCTCTGCGAGAATGTAGTTGCATTAATGAGGGGGCGGCAAAATGGATTGTTGCCAAGGGCAGCAAGAATCCATACATCGGTCCTGGCTTTGACTAGGGCTGGGTTGGAGAGATTACTCTGGTTTCCAAGTACGTCACTGAGGGATATCTACCAAACTAACAGATTTATTAATCTTTCTAACATTTTTTCGACCGAAAAATACATGATATAACCAAACATCTTGTTCACACATTCATTATTGCCCTTCTTAACTATTGTAACCCATGTTTATCAGGCTCCCATGTAATATCTTTGACCCTTACGGACAATAATACATGCTGCTGTAAGGCTTATCTTCCTTATAGCTGTGCTAATACATCATCCCATTGTCAGTCCTTACACTAGCAGTTCTGTATCCATTAGGATTTATTTTAGAAATCAGCTATGGTAGGGAAAACCACATTTGTGAGCCCTTAAGGATTACCTGCATTCCTGTATTAATTTGACCTAAATGTGAGCTGATTTTCATCTAAGTCCTAGTAATAGAAAAAAATCTGATTGAGCAAGCAAAAAATTATGTTTTGTTTTTTAAAATTACATTTTTATTTTTTTTGCTATAATGTGTGTTCCGCTATGATGACCATTACTATGGCATAGTGCCACCTTTGGAGATATTGCTATATTTGCCTACATGGTACACCACCATTATAGACATGATCTCAGTCTTTCTGCTGCTGTTAGACGTTTTGTTTTAATATGTAAATGATGTGTGTGTGTGTGTTGTTGTGTCCTGTGTATTGAAGTATGCTAGATAGGGGTAGATGCAGCCAGGCCAAATGCACTTAACATTTGCAGACATGAGTCTGCAATCCCTTGCTGTAAGACTCTGCCTGTACAAGGAAAACATGCCTTCTAGTTTTTTTTGACAGCACAGACTAAATAAACCCCTATGGTTTCCAGCATGTAGACTAGCAAGGTTATTCCCTAAAGTGAGAATTCAAAGTGAATTTTATATTTAAGGCCAAAAATTCTCTCTCTTTTTTTAAATTCAATTTCTTTTTATTAAAGAATATCTGACATATGGAATCATAATAAAAAGATAATCAAGCAATGGTATACAAGCCACTCGGTACATGTCGTTCAAGAGATATAAAGGAAAACATATACCGGTAATGTACATACAATCGGTAAAAAATCACTTATACAGATGGAGAAGGTGCACCAGAGATTGGCATTTGGCAGACACTGCCAAAGAAGGCATGGGCAGTGGAGGCTACATGGTTATATATATGTTCAACATGTCATCTTTTCATCTGTATGCATAACACCTGACCGATTTAGGGTTGTAACTGCGTAAGGATACTTTGAGATCTTAGAGTGCCCTTGATATGTAATCTATCTAGCCAGTTGTTGGTAGTCTGGGACCATATGTCAGGATAGAATGTTATTGAACAACTAAAACAATATATACAAAAAGGAACAGATAATCAAACATATTAAGAATACAAAAGAATAAGCATATGAGCATACATGTTATACACATCATTTTCAAACTTGAGAGTGATCATAAATAAGTATAAATATAAGAATGAAAGAATGTTGAGACTTGTACACCCGGGGCGGGTGTTAGTTGGTTCCAATTACAGAGATAGAGACACAGGTGATACCATACTGAATTTGGTACCAAAAATTCTCTTAGTCAGTTATCCTTTCAGTTCCCCTACTTTGGCCTCAAAGTTGAAATTCATTCTGAATTCTCATTTTAGTAAATAACCCTGTCACTAAGTCGGGCCCTGGATACCACACCTAAAAACTCACTGACTGGTCCTTTTCCCTATTCTAATGCTCGCATAACCCCCAAACCTAGTAGGTCACCCTCTATACCGCGCAGTCTCAAATAAGTGTGTGCTTTTCTTTTATTGACGTGGTATGTGGTATTACTTGTATGTAACTACCGGTACCTTATCTTTGTATAGAGACTAGCCAATATTTGCTATTGTGGACAGCCACCTGTACTCTCAAGTCACCTATTCAAGTTACCGCTGACCTGCACCCAAGAGTGCTCCTGTATACAGGTACAGCATATGATAATGAACCATAGATTGACATTTGAGGTATGAGGCACACTTGTTTCTAACAATATCCATTAAGTAACAACAAAAACACTTTTGTTTTCACTCAAATGTGTGCAGCATATTACATTAGGGTGTGCACCTAGAGAAAGAAAAAGAAGAAAAAAAAAACCCCAGAACAAATCCCAGACAATATAAAAGAGGATTCAATTATAGTGAAGGATATATGTTATTTAAAAAACCATCAGGAAAGGTGCTGACACAATTTAAAACCATAATAAACACTCCAAGCACCATAACCACTACAGGAAGCTGTAGTCGACATGTTGCCAGAAGTACCCTGGAACCCTCCTCCACTCAATGCATGTAATCAAACTGTAAACTGTTTAGTAACTGTTTGACTCCATCCCTGGGGTCCACAGAGCACTGCATCCCGCCTCCTCTCAAGCAGAAACTCCAAGCGCTGAACTTAGATCAGCTGATTATCTCAGCTAATATGCCTTGGGCTACAGGGCTTAGCACAGGAGCACTAATAGAAGCTCCTGAAAGGAGCTTCAGGCTATTATTCCAGGCTCAGTGAAGGCAGGGACACCAGGTAAGAACTCAAAGAGTTCCTGTAATGTTGCATTGGTTATGGTGCTTGGATTGTTCTTTTGAAATGTGCAATTATTCTACAATGAAAATAAAATAGCATTGACTATTTAAGAAGTGTGTCTTTATTCTCTGTTTAGGGTTCCCATGCTTCCACGTAAAGCATGCCACATGCCTGGGTTGTTTACAATCACTCATTGATTTGATAGAGTGGACCCAAGCAAGAGAAGGCACGCTTCCTGCAGTACCAGTGACAGTTCTTATCAATATCTGCTGCTGCTCCTGCTGGGATGAAGGCATGCTGGTGGTGGCAGCACTCAGCCAGTCTGATCAGCTGTCAGGGTGCAAGCTCAGCCAAATTTAAAAGCACTTCTCTTTTACTACTCAATGGCATAACTAAGAACATACATCCTTCGTAGGAATGCTAAAATAAAATGAGAACATTCAGAGGTCACATACACAACATAATGGGGGAATTTTACTACAAAATGAATTTTAACAAATTAAAAAGTGAAATCACAACATTTAAGCAACAATACCGAATTTTAAAAAAATCAAGTAATTGCCAACAAAAAAAAGTCAACGGAAAAAAGAAAAAGAGGTTTTTGGACTCTACTCAAACCGGCTTACAAGTTAGGTTATATAGTCACAGTTAGGATATTTTAGCTTAAATTCTGCAATTCTGTTTTTGGTTCACTAGAGTTCACGTTTAGTAAATAAATCCCTATGTGTTACATATCTCATTCCTTGGGAGTATTGTAAAAGAACCATAACTGCCTGATTTATACATCCTTTGCAGCAGAAATGTCTGATCGTCTTCATTCTCTTTCCCCCATTGTCCTAAGAAATCTGATAGAAAAAGCTTAAAGAGACATTCTCAGGACTCAGACAGTTAGCCATCATCGACGGGGGAGGGGAGGTTATCTCAATATGAATTGAAAACCTAATTGCAAAATTTAAGCTTAAATAGTCAAGTCACTATCACTAGAGCGGAGAATAATAAGATCATCCCTTGTCAGCTAAATTTTGCAATACGGCTTTCAGTTAACTAAATGCAATGTTGGTGAATAAACACTAATGAATTCTGCATTGTTTTAACTTGTACAACTGAATGTCAGAGGGTCTATCTGTGATCTGATGTTGAACAGAATGTGAGTCATTTCGCACAACAATGGTTCTAAACACAGATCTACTACTTAATGGATTAAGATATGTTTAATTTGAAATGGTTAATAGGGTTTTTATTAAAGTGGGAAGTGTCAGGAACTTTAAGTTCAGCTACCTTGGCCTTAAATCTGAAATTGACTTTGAATTCCTGACAATTCTCACTTTAGAACCCAATCGTGTAGGTAAAAGCACTGACCTGACCATAACCCAAAGGAAATGTTATGCGATATTCCGACTAAAATAAACACGTTTTGACTAGGGATGAATTGGAGAGATTTTTCTTTCCATGGTTTTTAATTTTGCTTACATTTTGCAATACAGATTTGGTGTGCTTAAATGGACACTGTAGAGACTGAAACTGTTTCATCTCATTGAAGTGGTTATAGTGTGTGAAGTCCCATGGCACCATCCTTTCATTCAGTGTTACACCATTTTTACAAGATATATACTAAAGTGAGAATTCAGCATGATTTCCAATTTATGGTCAAAATACCTACTCTGGCCTTCAATTTGAAATTCACTAATAAATAACCGTGTTAATGGTTTAGTGCTAGACGAGAACACCCAGCAGTCTCTGTGCTGCTTGGACCAACAAGGAAATAGCAGTGATTGGCTGAATGTTGTCACAGCTGCCCTATGTACTGCTTTTATAGGACTAAAGCAGTACATAACATCTACACGAGTCATACCTCCCTCCCACCAATGTCATGAGAACCGGGTCAACATTTGGGAGGGAGGTAAAGGGGGCAGACCAGTGACGCGATTGCAGCACTAGCTCAGCCCCCAATGAGGCCGGTCTGTGTAAGTTAATGGCATTTCAACGTGGTATGAATACACACCAGGCTGTGGCTACTGGACTCCAAAACTTTGTAACATCAATATCATTACACCATCACTCAGACCTACTCAGTCAACCGTGTCCCTTTAAATGTGGAGTTTAGTTAATAACCATGAAACAGTGTATCATGCAGGCGCACCACCTACTGAGCTCAGCCAGAACCATCAGCCTCGTCGTACCCATGTCCACGCATTGAATGTTTGAATATGTAAGTTTAGAATAGTTTGATCAGTCTCCATTTTTAAATAAGTATAGAGAAATCAAGGTCAGTGTGGAGACCTCAGGATGGGTAATTCTGCCTAATCAGTTAAATCAAATTTCCAAATCAATTACACTGATTGAGAAGCTAAAAGGAAGCAAAAGTGGTAGGTTATTACAAACATTTCTGGTAGTGTTAGAAGAGGTCTATGAGATCCAGTGCAGCTGCTTGGCAGAATGCATCCTACACAAGTACCTTCAAACTACTGTACATCAGAGGCATGGGTGCAGTGGCACAAAATGCCATGCCAGTGACATGACAAGATAAAAACATGTAGAGACACAGTAGAAACATAGTCTCTATACAACCACTAATGGTTCCATGTATGAGAAAGCAGCCATGCTGGTAATGGTATATTTACTGATTTAACGCATTGAATTTCTCATAGAAATATTCTGGGTACAGGGCTCCTTTAAGCTATGATTGTGGTGCAAGAGGCTCTTTCTCTGCAGAATTTCAGCTAGATTCACAACCAAATAGGATATATATTGATTTTATTTTATTTTTTAACTGGGGTGTAGCTCCAGATCCTTTGTCTGTCAATCAGCCAGCAAAAAATATATTATTTATGTGGTGGATATGTCACATTTATCCAACAGCTAGCCTTCGTTTGCAGACAATTATATTCTATAGAAGTCTGCTTTGTGTCGAGTACATATATATAGTAGATTCTACATACCCCCTTGTAGTGTCTCTCCCTCTCTTGCTATGTATGGATAGAGTGCCGAAAAATTGAAAGATCAACATTAGCTTAACTAGTTATATCTTTAAGTGTTGGAGAAAGTTTATTTGAGGGGAAAAAAAACCCCAGTAAATAAAATTAACTTAAATGCCTTAATCGTATGCATTTAAAATGTTTAAAAATGTATTAATCTAGAGTTTCCCTTTAATGTCCCAATCTAGTTTGAGTAGAAAGTATTGTGCAAGATGTACAAGGGATAGCAGTTCCCTTCTGTTACTCTTTTCAATGGAAAAAGTGCAAAGAGATAGATGTATTTTTTTTTTATTTGCAGGTTGCCTATAGGATATAATACAGCCTTTATCCACAGAAAATAATGATAGAGTGTAGTTTTGCTCTCACCTCTCTCAGGAGAGTGCGTGTAGGTGAAGTGCACCTTAAATATAGTGCTGTGGAGTTTGCAGGGTGTCAGGAATTCTGTTAAGAGTCGTTACAGAACACAGACACAGAGTTCAGTATTTATATAGTTCTCCCAGAAATCATTCATTCAAAATTCATAGCATCATAACCATACTGCAATGATGTGCGGAACTTTAAATGCACTGGTGAGACAAATGCAAAAATCTGAGGTTATAAAAAAAAAAAAAAATACCAAGAATTAAAGTGTTGGTTCACCAAAATCGTATATGAGGATCAAGAAAAGAGTAATAGGAAAGAAATGTGTGTGTGTATACATACACACACACACACACAAAAAAGAAAAATAATCCTGCACTCCATATACAGTAAATATACTTGCCCGGTGCTTGTCAGGCAAACATACAGGAACAAATGATCCAGATAGCACTCCCAGGACTTGTAAGTAAAATAAAACATAACTTTTAATTAGCTTTAAAAATTGAATCAACGTTTCATTCTGTTACACACACAAAAATCTGCATTCACTGGTTAGCGCAAAATAATAAACATGGTGCTTAATAGGACAAAGTAGAATACAAAAGAGTTTAAAACTTTTTTTTTTTTTTTTTAATATTCAACTACTGTTTAAAAAGCTTTCATCCTAATGAACCGATTTCATCCTATAGAGGTAGATATCAAAATCCTTACAGCAAACATGCGATTGGATGACACAGAACAATGTTCTACAGCAATTAAATAACATTGATGAAAGCAAAGCACTGAGACCAGATGGTGTCCACCAACAAGTACTTAGAGAGCTAAGCATGGTTAATATTCAAATCGCTGTTTTTAATCTTCCAGGATGCTTTTCTTTCCGGAATCATGCCATAGGATTGGAGAAAAGCTAATTTAGTGCCCATATTTATGAAGGGATTAAAACTTCTTCCTGGAAATTACAGACCTGTGAGCTTAGAACCTGTGATTTGAGTGGTTATTGTGTAAACCAATGTCACTAGTAGTAATCAACATGATTTCTAGAAAAGCCCAAGTATGCCAAACCAAAAGGATCACCCCACACATCATGACATGGTGCTTGGAGTATTCCTTTAATTGCATTCTATGAATAATTCAGTAGAAGGGTGTTTCTTTGAATTCAAATTACAGTAGATATGATCTCTTGAATTTGCCAAGACAATTTGTATAGATGAAAATGTTTGTTCTTGAATTGCACATTCGCTTCAAAATAGAGTGGAAGTAGACAAACTTAAGTGGAATACCTAGACAAAGGTCTTGTGTGGGTACACTTCTGTTTATCAATGATCTTACAATAGGCATTGACGTTTGTATCAATGTTTACAGATGACCAATAAATAAAAATAGGTAATATAATGCAATATGAGCAAGATATTACTTTGCTGTAGAAGGATATGGACAATTAAAGGGGCTGGGCAGCCAAGTGGCAGATGAGTTTTACAAGATTATTTACTAGCTAGAATTAAATGTGAATTTCAAATTTAAGGTCAAAATAACAAACATGGGAAAATTCTCTAGGTCTAATTTGTTCAGTTTGGCTATTCTGGCCTTAAATTTGAAATTAATTTATAATTCACTATGAAGTCTCACTTAAAGGACCACTATAGTGCCAGGAAAACATACTCGTTTTCCTGGCACTATAGTGCCCTGAGGGTGCCCCCACCCTCAGGGTCCCCCTCCCGCCCGGCTCTGGAAAGGGGTTTAAACTTACCTTTTTCCAGCGCTGGGCGGAGAGCTCTTCCTCCTCCTGGGCTGAATGCACGCAGCGGCAAGCTGGCATTCAGCCCGTCGTAGGAAAGCATTTACAATGCTTTCCTATGGACGCTGGCGTGCTCTCACTGTGAAAATCACAGTGAGAAGCACGCAAGCGCCTCTAGTGGCTGTCAATGAGACAGCCACTAGAGGATTAGGGGGAAGGCTTAACCCATTCATAAACATAGCAGTTTCTCTGAAACTGCTATGTTTATAAAAAAATGGGTTAATTCTAGCAGGACCTGGCACCCAGAACACTTCATTAAGCTGAAGTGGTCTGGGTGCCTAGAGTGGTCCTTTAAGTGAATAAGCCTGTAAAATGAATGCAGATAATTATGCAATTTGAGATGAGGCATGCACAAGCTACTTACACCCCTTTAGAGTCACATACTGTTCCCGTATGCCATACGTTTTTTTTTTTTTTTTAATTAAATGTTTGTCTTCTTTCCTATTTACAGTGCTGTGGAAGATGTTGATATATTGGCGCTATATAAATAATTGTAAATGGCATAGAGTTCGGGAAAACAAATGAGAAGGACTTCGTTATAGACAACAGATTGAGCAACAATGTGTAATGTCAGGTAACAGTTTGCGAAGGCCAGTAAGGTATTGTCATGCTTTAAAAAATAAAAAAAAATGGTATAAAGTCAACGGACAAGAGCACAAATAAATACTAATAAACTGGTCTCATTATAAAAGAAGAATGTTTTGAAATCAGAAGGCATGCTAGAAAATTAATGAAAAGAATGTAAGATTTTATGTATAAAGTAAGGCTAGAAAACTTGATTGAAAGAAAAAGAAAAAAAAATATGAAACCATGATATAAATACATACAGGGACCGTTGAGACAGTGGTTTGGTAACCTGCTCATTAACAGAACTGCACAAAAAAATGACAACCCATTTAGACTTGACATTTTGCCAAGAGCAGAGATTGGCGTTCTCTACTGTAAAACAATAAGATATGATAAATTCTGTCCCAAAGAAGAAATTGATCAGATGCTGTACAAATTTTTTATTTTATTTTTTTAACCTTTTTTTTTTTTTTTTTTATATGCACACACTAGCTTTGGGTGATAGGAGGAGGTGGACTCAGAAAGGGAATTAATTAGAATTTCATGGCTAATCCATGTCAGCATCACCTATGGGTTAAATTCCTCCCCCTCAGCTGATAGGACAGGACAAATAAAAAAATTGTTATAAAAGAGAGTCACATCTCCATATCCAGCAGTCATTTTTTTCTAATTGTGAACACATGACAGAGAAAACCAAAAGAAGATACAGATATGGTGTTCCAGAAGTTACAAGTTCAATTGGATAATAAACATCATCAAGAGTCAACTACAACTGTCGCAGGAAATACATTTCTTGGGGGCCAATATCAACACAAGAAAAAGCTGGATAACTTTAGCAGAAGACAGGATAGCAAGACTTATTGGGAAAGTCTCTTCAGCAAGAGTATGCAATCACATAACTACCACAGATTACAAGAGTCTTTTGGGAACAATGTCATCAACAGTTGGGTTAGTAAGATGGGCCCATTGGAACCTCATAACCGCACAGAAAATCTTCTTAGACTAATTAATTCAAGAAATCCAAGAATGGGATCAAAAATATGGATGACAGAGGAAGTAAGACTTTCTCTTCAATGGTGGATGAAAGAGGAAAATATAAGAAGAGGCTTCCCTTTAGAAGAACCAGAAAGGGAATTTGTGACAACGGATTCCAGCGGGAGCAGATGGGGAGCACAAAACAAAAACCAGGTAGCCCAGTGAATATGGCCTCTGAGATGCTGTAACCTCCACTCGAACATCTTGAAATGAGGGCCTTTTACAAGGTTTTACTGATATTCAAGCAATTCCTAAAGAACAAATGGGTGAAGGTAAGGGTGGACAACACAACTGCATGTCCTACATCAATCATCGGGGAGGGACGATGAAAAAGAGACGGATGCAAGAATCCAAACCAATAATATTCTTGTCACAACAGAATCTGGAAGGATTGTCTGTGCTTCACCTACAAGGACTAAAGAACACTGTCACAGATTATCTTTGCCGACATTCTGTAGATCCAGGAGAATAGAAACGGAGTTTGGATGTTTTCCAAAAACGTGATCTATAGGGTGTACCAGATATAGATCTGATGGCGACCTTCAGAAACAAACCGCTCCTTTGTATTTTTCAAGGAGATTCAACTGGAGAGCAAAAGGTCAAGATGTGCCAACACAAAAAAATGGGAATTTCAGCTGGGCCATGTCTTCCCTCCTCTTCCACTAATTCCGAGAACACTCAAGAAAATCTGGGAGGAGAGAGTAGAGGTTATAGCAATTCTTCTGCATTGGCCAAGGAGACCTTGGTTCACACTACTTCTGAGCATGATACTAGAAGATCCATGGGAACTACCAATCCAGTGGAATCTCTTTTCACATGGTCCAGTTCTCCACGACGATCCTGCCATTTTTCGTTTGAAGGCTTGGAAATTTAAAAGAATGTCCTAAAAGCTAAAGGAATTTCAGAGTGTGGTAAATACAATTTTCAAGCAAGAAAACCCAACACATCCAAAGTGTAATATAGGATTTGGAGAACATATGTGGATAAATATTTCATTTCAATAAACCTTCCTAACTTGTTAGAATTTTTACAAAAGGGACTAGAAAAATAAGGATTGAGTCTCAGCTTCCTAAAAGTTCAATTAGCCACCTTCTTAACCATATCTAATGTCCAATGGGCTCTAGATCCTACAATCAAGCGATTTATAAAGGGGCAATTAGAATCAAACCAACAACTGAAAATTTTATTCCAGCATGGGATCTACCAACAGTGCTACACAGTTTAACTGATGCACCATTTGAACCTATGGATTCATCATCCCTATGGGACTTGACAATGAAAAATTTATTTCTTACTGCTATCACGTCTGCTAGAAGGGCTTCTGAACTCCACGCCCTTTCGTCTGAGCATCAATTCACTCAAATCTTGGAAGATAAGGCAGTTCAGAAATTGGTTCCAGAATTTACTCCTAAAGTCCTTTCAAAATTCCATCTGAATCAAGAAATTATATTACCTTCAATAAGAATTCTTCATCTGAAGAAACACATCGGCACACCTTGAATGTGGTCAGATCGCTACAAGTATTTGGTTACCAAGGTATGGCTGCCTCTATTTCTACAATTTGCAGATGGATTACTTCTACAATTCAGAAGGCATACAAGGTAGCCAGAAAGAAGGTACCAGAGGGAATCAAGGCTCACTTTACCAGGGCTGTCTCGGCATCTTGGGCTTCTTTAATGGATACTTCAATGGAGGAAATTTGCAGGGCGGCTACCTGGTCTTCCTCCAAAACATTCGTGTCTTGGGAGGAAAGTCCTTGATTCTGCCATTAATGTTTGAATTACAATTTGATTTGCATTGATTGGGTGCATTTGTGTTTTATTCCCACATCCCCATTGGTAAACTTGGAAAATCTTATAGGTGATGCCGACATGGATTAGCCAGGAACAAGAAAATTGTTACCATACTTACTGTAATTTTCTTTTCCTGGCTATTATCCATGTCAGCATCATCAATCCCTTCCACTGTCTGGACTGACTTAATTATGAGACTGCTGAATATGGGGAGCCAACGCTCTTATATAACATTATTTTAAGTTTAGATTCCAGTTCCATCAGCTGAGAGGGAGGAGCTTAACCCATAGGTAATGCTGACAATGCTGGATAATAGCCAGGAAAAGAAAATTAAGGTAAGTATGGTAACAATTTTCTGTTATATAGTGCAAAGTCATTCCTTTTAAAAAGCGGAACAAATTTATTATGCCACACATTTATACACAAAATCTTATATTTAAAATGGCAGAGCCAAACTTGCAGTCAAATGAGAATCCTAATTAAGGTATGGGTTTTTGTGTGTTGCCCTGTGTTTGAATATGATGCATTTATATGTACAAAAAAATATATACTTTAGGTAACTGGGTCCTATTTAAATTATACATGTAAGCATATACTCTGTTAAAAAGGAATCAACCAGAACAACTGTAGTAATTAAATATTTTTTCTTTTATTTTTACAACATTTTCAACAATACAGAAGTAGTTCCATAAACACAGCAAGTTTTTTTTCCTTTTAAATTTATCTAAAACGTAGACTCTAAAAATGGATGTGCTGAATGCAGTATAAAAGCACCATTATGTGATCAAACATAGCATACAGGAGAGAACAGAAACAAGAGTATTTATCGCAGTCGATTAGGGCATATTCCTGCCAACAGAGGAGTGTGTCACATACCATTTAAGTGCCGGCAGCTATGTAGAATGTGGGTTCCCCTTTTTATATCATTAGTTTTGGAAGACTGCTAATAAGAATCACAAATAACTACAACTGAAAACATAATGTAGGGCAAATAAAAATAAGCCGCAACATAAAAAAGGCAAGAACGCAAAGATTTATAGAATGTTAAAGAAATAACCCTTCCCTAGGAAAAGTGAAATTAACACAATTTCTCACTTACTGGGAGAGATCCTTCTTAGAAAGACTGAACACCTGGGGAACACATATACAATATTATAGATTTTCCATGTAGTACAATAATGTAATATAATTGTACGTTATATAAAGTATTGCCATTGTGCAAATATATATACTTACACGTTTACATGTTTTTTTTATATGAAAGCACTTTATTGTAGAGATTATGTAAGTGAAAATAATTTTCAGTTTTATATTTTAAAATATAAATTTTCCTGTGTGAAGTAGCCTCGAAAGATTGAAGGTCACTTTAAATTTAGCATTTATGTTAGGTCAATACTGGCTGAACTTCTACAGGTAGTGGACAGCCATTGAAAGTGACCTGTACAAGCAATTTTGTTAAAAGGGTTCTTACAAAAGGGGCAAACAGTGGGTCTAAAACTATAAGGTTTTAATTGATATACTCCTCATATTGTTGTTTTAGCACATAAAGAAAAACATCTAGATTACCTGTGGATGTAAAAGAATATATTAATCTGGTCACTTAGTGCACTAGTCTCATGTGCAAGATGTGGCAATACTAACAGCAAAAATATGTATGAATGCAACATTGATACACATTCCCTGGAAGGTGGTGTTCAGCATTAAACCTATGTAGTTCTATCTCCAAGGATGGAAGCATGTATAATAGGCTTACATACTTCTGACATAGAAAAAGGAGAGGACTCACTAGCTATATTCTCCACTATAGCACACAGTGCCATGAAGACTCATGTGTATATAATATTTGAGGGAAAAAAAAAAAAAAGTTCCTTTAACCTTAACAAAAAAACCCCCAAAAAGAACATATGCCTAAATTGTGCTAGAAGTATCGTCCACAGGAATTCTAATGTTTCATGATCCCATCAGCCAAATATACATTCATATTTTTATACTATCCATATTACATATAGATGATTGCATCATTTATAAAAAATAAAAAAAACACACACAAAAAAAGAGAAACAGAAAATGTTGCCCATTAAATCCTAAATCACAATAAAAGAGATACAATTAATTAAATTTAAGTATTAAGAAAAAAAACTATTCATATTTTTATATGTATCTGGTATGTTTTTGGCTGCCTGTCTTAGGTTTTAATAATGGTTTGGTGTTAAAAAGATGTGAAAATTATAGGCACTTTCCTTAGGATTGATTTTTTTATTTATTTAAGAACTAAAAGAAAAATAATAATATATATGTATATAGATAGATAGATAGATCTAAAATATGATGAATCTTATTTAGGAGTGAACTTGCCCAATGGGTTATTAAGTACTATGTTTCAAGTGTGCTGAATTGTAGATTTATTTTCGGTTTGTGTTTAGTATTTAGTCTGTTTTGTCAAGAGTGACGGTGCAGGTATCGGATAAATATTTCCTCCAAGATAGTCAATGGTTCTTCTAAAGAAAGGAGAACGTTATTTCATGTATCAGAGTGTCACTTGAAGTATCCAATAAATTCATACATGATAGTGGGGTACAGTGTGCCACGGAAGTACCAGCAAATCAAATGCAATACATGAAACCGTAATCACAATTATGCAGTATTAAGTTAGCCTTTATAGTAATAGTTCAACTTCACAAGTTGCAAAAGCTATGCAGTTTATAGTGATCATACGTAAGAATAGCTGCTACGGTTGATGGGAATCGGAAATGAGCAACTGCGTCTAACATTTTAAAGCAGGATAAATAAAGGAATTTAAAACAATGCATTCATAGACCTTGATTATAAAATTTGTACAAAATGATTGACACCCGCAGTGAAACATTAGGACAAATGATACTGAATGGTCCAGGTTTTGTCCAGTTCAGCTTTGAATGTAAATTATGGTTTGTTTGGTTTTTTAATGTCTGTAACATTCTCAATCAGGCTATGTACAGTTCTTGAACCTGAAGTACCAGTTTGCAGCTGAGAAGATTTGTTTCTGATCAAGGTACATCAAAAAGCAAATCTTATAACTGATGGAATAAATAGAGTATCAAATATGCTTTGCTTCTTGCAGGATTGCTGAGCTCGCCTACATCAATGTCCATAAAACCTTTTTTTTCTGTAAGTATTGCTTTTAGCATGAAAATTTACAATCAATTAATTGTAGCAAGGTACATGTGTTATATACCTTGGTAAGCATAAGCTCTCATAAGAATATAATGGTATCTCTATTTAGATGGAGGCTCATGGACTGGTTTATAAAAACAAGGCTGTGTACCTTATTCAGACTTTATATCTATTTTTTTTTTTTACATGTATGGAAAAGTAATCTGTTCAGTTAGCAAACCATGCTAAATAAAAAAATGTAACAAGGCACCAAATATCTGACACCCATATAGACAATGTTAAGATATGGGCCTATTTCTTCTGAAGACACCTGTTTTATACTTACACCCACGTAGATGGTCAAAGATGACACAAACCTAATGTTTGGGGGAATAAATTTCAATCTAGTTTTCTTGTCACCTTTTCTTCTATAATACAAGGCTGTGTCATCCTCATAGCACCATGATAAAGAAAAAAGTATGTAAATCTAACTTGTAAAATAATGCAACTCTATAAGCATAAAGATTTTATGATGTAATAAATGACTAGGGTGGAAAATAGTATTAACAGAACATACCAAAGTTTAGTTCTCCATGAACAGGCTGACCTAAATTGATCCCATTTTTAAAAAAGGCAGATAGTATGTAGTGTTGTTTTAAAGACCTTAGGCTTTATCTAGCTTTTAAAGCGAATGCCCATTACCTAAAGAGCTTTGTACAGAAGAGATATTTGTTTTGGTTCTGAATAGATTACAAAATGGCGTTTGCAGCACAGTGAAGACAGTTAATGTATATGTGTGTTGTTTCAATCATGGTGCATGGAATTGGTTAAAACAGAACACAGATAATGCAATATTTCCCATAACAGAAAGAAAAATATCACACACTGGGTATAACCTTAATTTGCGACTTTGACAAACATCATAACCATAACTTGAAAATCAGGATATATCTTTAAACCAAGAAAAAAAAATAATGGTAAAATGGCCATCGAGTTCAGGCATTACTGTTATAGAATACTTCAGAAACAACCCTTTCGTTATGATTTAGTGAAGTGTACTGAACTAAAATTAAAAGTTCAAATTTTAGGCAAAAATTGTTGATTTGGAAAAGTTCTATATCTCAATTATAGTGGCAGCTTGGCTACTTTAAGCCTAAATTTAAAATTTTAGTTTTCAGTTCACTAAATTGCAGTATATAAATCAATCAGATACAGTTCTTCTGACCAAGTGCTTTTTGTACCCAGGTGACATTATTAAAAGGTACATGGATGCCTATATATAAAGGCAAATAACTGCCAATACCACCACTAATAGCCAATGTATTCATGGCATCCCCATTTCATGACAACTGGGTAACACTAGCTTTCCAGACTTGGGACGGTTATGAGGTGCTAAAATATTCGGTGTAAACATTTGTACATGAGAATTTTAGACTACATTTACCATTTCCATTTGGGAAGTGGCTATATATGCACACACACACACAAATTACCCACACAAAGACACATACAAAACCAAAAGTGTTTCAGAACATTTATAAAAGCACAAATTCATAAGAATCTCTATTACATCAGCTATACAAAACATGAATAAATAGTTATATATTTCCATGTGATTTATGTACATCTAGGTGTGCTTTTTTTTTTTAGAGCAGAACATATACTTCTCTTTTATAAAGGTAGAAAATTTTTTAGCAGGAGAGATTTCTTTACTTAGAAACCAAGAACAAAATAAAGAATACGAAATCATAACATAAGAGGGTTGTACAGCGTTAGGACTTTTGACCAGTTCAAACTTGAAGAAAAAAAAACAGTCTGTCTGTGAAATGGTGAAATCAAGTTACTAATGTAATTAGTCCAAAACATTGTCTGGTCTGCAATAGATAAGTATCTTCTTAAGCCCTTTTTGTGCTAAAAGACTAGTTTATTATCCTCATTTCTACTTTATAGCTATTATGAGGGTCATTTAGAACACAACTAAATGTCTTCATGTCAAAGGGTTTAGTTTTATTCCTGCCAATAGGGTGTATAATATATATATATTTAATAAATCGTAGTGTTTCCAATCCTACGTTATTCTTAATTACTGCAGAGGGTTGGATAGAACACTATTAATTTTAAACAGGTTTAAACATTTGAACATCGGATGCGCAATGGCCCTGCATACCCCTTTGGTACTCAATGGGTTACTATTGATAGTTGGACTTTTATATTGCTGGTTAATCATCTTAAAACATGCAAGAACAATAAAAACAAAATAGTAATATCTAACCAATCAAAAGTTTGGGGATAAAAGGGTTAATTACACTTTAGGATAATAAACTTGGGTATGAAATCAAAACACTAGGAAGAGCTAAATAAAGTTCATTGAATTCAGGAGCTGGGTGCTGTTCAGAACTTTGCTGCGATATCACCAGATTTGTTAACTTAATGCTTCGGGTTATTGCTTCATTAACTCTATGGCTTCCCTATGACTTAAGGCGTTCTGGATTGGATAAGGTCCAGCTCCTGATAACACTGAAAATTGTAGTGTGAACAGCGGTCATAAGGACAAGATGATGCTGTATGGACAGCACAAAGAGCAGGTGTTGAAGGTTTCTGAGCTGACTGTAACTAAACCTTGTTTGCAGGGTATAAGAAAAGAAAAATTAAAGCAAACTATCTTCTGCCTGCTCTAAGCCATGTTTGTTCATCTCTCTGTGAGGTAGGAAATAAAACTGATTGTCCCATTGAGCAAAACACAAATCCTTTATATGGACAGGGACAATCCTATGCAGCTGCGAATGTTACAAAGTGAAACAAAATGACATTAGGGTGCAGTTTGCCTTTAACCATAGATGACAAAGTACCCATCCAAACACTGTTAGATTAAATTTCCAACTTCTGGGTTTTAGATTTAGAACAATCAAGATTTTGTGCATTGTAGTGCATGGTCTTCAGGGTATATCCCTTTTTTGCTTTGGAATTTAAGAAAGAAAAATAAAAAAATTTAAATTAAGTAGTAAGAAACAGGGGTTTTACTGCATCACGTAATAACGAGTTAAATAACTGAATACTTTGTATCCTGAATTCTTTTTTTACAGTTAGCAGGAGAGCACACTGATCTCTGCTTGGGGCCTAATTTGTGCCAACGTGCTCATTTCGCAGTTTCAAGATTCCAGTTATAAAACAAAGTTATACCATATGTAACATGGAATCATACAGAGAAATGACATAGTGTGTCCCCTATATAAGTGTGAAATTATAGATATATTGATGATGACAATTAGGCAAAACCGACACCAAATACATAAAAATACAACAGAAAGAAAACGAAAAAGAAAAAAAGAAGTTGCTTTATAGATTTCCAAAAAGAAGCCATAAGGCTCCAGCTTTGTATTTTAGACTGTGCTGGGTTCAGTGCAAAAATAAAACCAAATGCACAATTTTGTGAAAAAAATAAAAAACAGGTTAGCAGCATTCTCACCATTCTAAGCCAGAACCAAGGAGTTAACATGCACGTCCTATGCATCGATTCCTGGTGGCTTCTCATTGGAAATAATTAGCTGTAAACTAAGGCCTTGCTGTACAGCAAGAGGCTTTTGACATAATCCTTCATACCATTTCCAGATTGGAATCCCACGTGATGAGAAAAAAAAACCAAAAACAACATCCCACAAATAAAAGGTTTTGGTGTTACAGAAATATACCAAGACCTTGTGTTTTGGCCATTTTTAGTGGGTAAAGATGTGGTGATGACCTGGTGAGCAAGTGGAATAACAGTTACCACTTTACTGCATTACCAGAACAGCGCTTTAGCTCCCAGTACACAGATAGAAATATATATATTTATATATTTTTTTTCCTTCGAGTGCTTCATTGTGTTTCTGGAATGTTGTCTACTGGAGAAGTACAGGCTGATGGGACAGCATATCATCTTTATTGTGTAAACTGACAGCCATGTACTTCTCAGGAGCTATAGGGAAGGGGTAAGGAACCAGAGCTGGGAGAAAGTCTGAGTGGGACAGTTCACGTGCAAGATTATGGTGTGAAGCAGTTGCTAGATAAGACAGTATCTGACGTGGGAAACCTAGGGTGGGGGGAGAACTGCTGGGATGTTTGAAACTCCACCCCCTCACCTTGTTTAAAAGATGATTTATAGGGTCACACTGGCTTTGGGATTGTCTTGTAGTTGTATCCTTTTAATGCCAGCACTTGAGTATCCTTCGTCACTGCAGAGGCTTTGCAAGCTCCCTCTCTCATCCAAGTCACTCACGCTGCTACTACTGCTGCTCCAATCCAGGTCTGCAGTTAAATAGTCTGTGCTTTCAACATCCACATCAATTTCTTCTGCAAATACAGATTAAAAGAAGTCAAATCAAAAATTATATTGGAACCATAATTAAATAAAATAATTGTGCCCATTTTATTTTTTAGATGTTTGCTTTAATAACAGTTGATTATAACAAATGTCTAAGTAACCTGCAATTCCTGTCACACTAAATATATTATATACATTTCCTCTCCTATGCACAGTGGAATTAATGGGAGCTCACGATATACTAGTTGCCTATTGGTGGTTGGCAGAACATGCTCCTAGCAGCCTGTATTTTTTAGATCAGAAACTGATGAGCTGCTGAATTCAAGGCAAATGTGCCACTGCTATCAAGAGTTAAAAAGAAAGCCTTAAATGGTGAAGACCTATCCAAAAGGCTCTCATACACGCCAGTACCCTGCACAAAAATCCCTTATTAAAAATTGTAAATGTGCATTCCAGCAGGCAATATATTTGTACATTTTTCATACATATTTGTCAATTTCCACGGCTAAACAAAAAAACAAACAAAAAAAAATTACGAACCTGTAATATAACAAATATATTTATATACAAACACACACACTCAAGTATAAGTACTTACCTCGGTCAGAATCCGACCTCTCCGAAGACATAGCAGATCCTACACTGTCCATCCGTATCCTTTCGACCCCAAATTTTTCTAGCTGCCTTTTTAGGTGTCGCTGTTCTCTCTGTAACTGTTCGATTTGGTGTTGTGACTTCTTGTCACAATCTTCAAGTTTCTGTAAATCAAAGAGCAACCCTAGTTACGTACTTGCAGACATCAGAACAGGTGGGTTAGCTACTGTACTCCTAACTTACCTTTATGTGCAATTTTGCCCTGGTTAATAGGCTTAAGGTAGTATGTCTATTGGATTCAGGACCAAGAGGAACCAATACTTTTAGCTTTTCTAGACATAACCTTAAGTGTGCTCGTCTAAATGCAAGAAAGGAAAAAAAAAAATCAACTAAACCCAAAATAATACATTAAAGCACAGTTTCAGACTGCAGAATTTTGGAAAAAATATTTTGGTACAAAGTATAGAGTAGCACAAACATATTTTATTACCTAAAACCCTACCGTACAAGACAAATGCAAGCACATGTACATTGGTACCACTACATAAAGGCCAAAAATTCCAATCACCCAGTGTAAAATGGTTATAAGCAGTCGGGCGCCTAGCTTTCTGCATGACTCACCTACAGCAAGCAGTTTTTGCTATATCAACATTTTGGTGCCGACTGCAAGGATTTCCTCAAAACACAGACAGATGTAAAATGCACACATGTTCATAATTTTATCCCAGAAATCTACAAGTAATGAGAACTCCATGGTATGAAGGTGCATACAGTTTATGGCAACGTCCTCCATATTTAGAAGACAAAAGCACCCTCTTAGAGAATCATGCTAGATAAATAAATACTAATTACATAGAAATTGTAAGAATCAATGCTTTTTTAAATGAAAACAGTACAAACTTTGCTGCATATATGCCTTTAGCATTCAGAACTGAATATACTCTGAAACATTTTACTCCTAAACAAACAAAAATTGATAATTACAGGGTTTCGCAATATTATTTAGTATTGTTTTATTTTAACATGTAGAAATAGTTCTCTATATTAATATTAGCAGAAATTAAATAGTTTGCCTGTTCATGTAAAATATAAAAAGGTTTTATACAAATTATTAAAATGGAATATTTAAAATGCTGTAATGCTAATCACAACCCCCCACCCCAAATGAGTATTTCATACAGAGACATTTTTCTTTAAAAAAAGATACCATAAAGCAAAGTAGGGACTACTTAGACATCAAGTGTTATACACTCACGCATGTGCAATAGTACAGTGCCGATGGCTCCTAGCAGACTAAGCACCAGGAGTTTGAGATAACCCCACAATAGTAGATGGGGGCGGCCATCCGTGTCAGGTAAGTAAAACCTATCTTTCCCTGCACTCTGCATCCACCACACTGCCAGCTGTAAAGTCACCATCAGTGGTCTTTGCAAAATATACAAAGATCCCAGAACGTGACACACATTTTCTCTTCAAGTTCACCCAGCAATGGACAAATAGTGACTCAAAAATGCAAGGAAAACAAAACAGAACAGGTTTCTGTAGATACAAGGGTGGACTACTCAGTAATGAGATGTCACCTGGGCAGGGGTTGGAAATGGATTATAAAAGATGAAGCAAGCAAATAAATATGGATGTAAATATTTCTGTAAAATAACCAGACATACCTGTTCTTCTCCATTTCATTGTGGGTTGACCTGAAATACAAAAATAGTCAATATATTAGTCACATCCTTCCTTCTAATATTAGCCGGGTAATAGCATGGTAATTAAAATTTTAAAGCCAACAGAAGACCATAGAGTTGGTGAATCAAAATCTTAATTTCCCTTACACACATTTACCACTAAAATCACAGATAAATGGTTACACTTTCAATTTACATTGCAAAACAATACAACACAAAATTTTTCCCACAAAACTACTTTCATTCTGTCCCTGTAAAGATCTGCAATGGGACTTGAAATGGCAGAACACTCTTCCCACCTTCCCCTTAGTAAGCACACAAATGGGAGAAATTGGAATAAATTACCCAAGCACCATGTCCACTACAGAGCAGTACAGGCTGAGAGCGTCTCAGCCAATGAGATAAATCCTGTACAGCTGAGCTTAACTCAGTGCAAAGAGCTTCCAGCTCTTGCCGAGCAGTAGTGGAGCACCACCAAACTAAGACGTTAGGGGTTGTAGTGGTAAAGGGGATTGGAGTGTTTCTTTAATGTACTATAAAGCTAAGGGTGGGGTAGGAAGGAAAAGCATACATGTCAATCAGTACAGCATATATATGGTTAGGAAGATACTGTGGCTACTTAAAAGGTAATGTACAGAATAATAGCTGTAACTATATTTACTGTATGTAGGCATTATGACCACATACAGGCCCTTTTGCACTGTGGTGTCATTTTACCAAGCCACATTGCTACACATATTATCTTGTCCTTACAAATATACAAGTAGGGTAACTGATTTGACTAATTTTTTTTTTTAATCACACCTTCAGTAGGGGAAAACTGATAATTATGCTGCTTATAGGCCAATATTTCATACCCTGCAAGAAATAGGATACCTTATAAAAATATTTATTAAAAAAAAAAGATGGAAAAAAATGCAATAAAAATTTTAAAATGTACATAATTCTCAACAGCAATCTACGCACAAAATTCCTGATTTTACTCTGTGGGATACTGACAACCTCTAGCTATCCCACTGAAAGCTATAGGAGTACAATATGCTTTCAGTATAAAGTGTTTACTGAAAATGCACAGATCTCTCAATGAAAACTACAGAGTGGCCAGAATTGGCTGAAACATTTCCTGGTTGAAGATCTTGGTGTTTTACTGCAACTCAGGGACATGAAGAGGTGGGGATGCCTTAATGCCTTAATGCATTCCTATTATATTCAGCCTGTGGTGAGATAGATTTCCCCCCCAAAAAAACTATAATAAATGAAGATACAATAAAGAGATTGTTTTTTTGAATAAAATATTTTAAATAATGTGGATTCTAGAGAGGAAAAGAGACCTAAAGAAAGGTTACAGACTGGGCTTTAAAATCAGATTATGGGAGCTGCGAGTTTATAAATATATATATATATAATATATTTATTATATATAATCATAAATAGACAGAGATAGACAATGAAGGACAGATAGAAAAACAAACTAAAGGCTGACAGTGGAACCAATTCAGGCCTGCAAATTGAACACTCGAAATGAAGACCATCTGGAAGGGATTGGATATGACAAGCAAGTGAATTGAAAATTTCTTAAATCATACCTTTAAAAAAAAGCAGATTTTCTGAATAGAATAAGGGCAGATTAAGACGATACAACATTTAAACAATCAGAAGTACTGCTTATGCCAGTGGGAAACTCATCATAAAACTAAGAATGTTAGCAGATCTGTCAAACATCCACACAGATATTGAGTATGGATTAAGAAACAAATGATATTTATTGTGTCAATGTTCACATATCATAATATTTACACATTGTTGATTCTTAAAACATTGACAAAAAATTCTAATTAGTTTTTTTTAAGTAATAATCATAAAAATAACAACATTTGAAAGAAACAAAGGATATTTACGATTTACATTTGAAGTACTCAAAATAGCAGTACAAGAAAAGTGCCTTGTGTATCCTTACATCACTATACAACTACAGCTAAACAATATCAGGAGACAAGGTTGTTTCTTTGTGTACATTTTTAAAATATAGACTACACAAAGAAACTAATGACAAAATTCAAAGCAATGGATGATATGGAAGTAATAATTTACAATATCAATGGAACATGGCGTTTGGGTGGAGTTTTAATTTCTTCAAAATGGCATCACTTTAATAGAGATATTATAACATAGTAGTCTAGAGCCCAAACAAAAACAGAAACCTGGCTATGATCTGGCATGCTAGGTTTATTTTTTGTGTTCCATGTCAGAAATGGAAATAGTTTCTATTCTAGTATAGCATTCAAGGCCTTGCAGAGACATTCAGCCATGTGGTCTACTATGCTCAAAGCATGTAGTTTGAAAGTAAGGCCTTGTTAAAAGTAATCACTTTATCACATGATATTGTTATTACAATAAAGGAAATATTAGTACTCTGAAAATGTGAGATTTTAATTACATTTTTCTTTAATTTTCTAAAAAACAAATGTTCAAAATCCATTGTAACAATACTTATGGGATAATGTCATACATAAAGGAAGTCTGTGAGGCTCAAACTTTCTTTATGTAAGCTGTATGGCCGTCTGTTTTTATGGTAAAGACAACTACACAATCACATTTCAGTTGGAACATTTGCAATTGTATCAATCCATAGCTTGATCTGGCCACAGCATTAAAGAGACACTACAGGAACACAGACCACTTCTGCCCATTGGAGACTCCCATCACCCTTAACCCTGAAAGTGTAATTATTGCAGTTTTTAACAGACAGCCTCTAGAGGGACTTCCAACGTCTTAGAACACGAAAAGTGTTTTAAATGATGCTGGACGTCCTCACACTATGCATGAGGACCTCCGGCGTTGCCGGAATCCCCATAGGAAAGGGCGGTCTAAGGCGCGCGTGTGGCCATTGCTGTGCATTAGATCTCCCGCGCCAGCTGACATCGACAGGAGAAGAGTGTGGGCAGAGCCTGACTCAGCGCTGAAGGACATAGGCGCTGGATTCAGGTAAGCCACTGAAGGGGTTTTAAACCCTTCAGCAACATGGGATGTGGGTGGGAGGGAGGGGGGGCACTGCAGGATCCTGCAGTGCCAGGAAAATTGATTTGTTCTCCGGGCACTGGAGAGTCCCTTTAAGAATAAGCTCAGACTATTTGACAACATTTATTACAATTAAAGCTCTAGTAGAAAGCCTATTAGGTAAAGACTGTTAAAGTAATTTAAGTAACAGGAGGCAAAAAAACCCACAACAATAAACACACACAAAAAAACACTTCATTGTCTTTAAAAATTCAGTGTAGCACAGCATTATTATACGAAATGTTAACAAACATTTGTAATGTTATATTTGCAAACCCTATATATAAATTGAAAACAAGAATTGTCCTAATTATTAGATATTACACTGGAAACACACTTATTTGATGGAATAAATAGCTGGCACACCCAAAACCATAAAGAATATATTTTGTTGACTCCGCTATATACTATAACCACTGGATGCTTGTAAATGGTTGATGTGTTAGAAAACAAAAGTGTCAAAAACATGGGACCTCTGTAAATGCAAACCATACTCTGGCATCTATTTTCAACCTACGGTGCCATACTCCTATGAGAAGTTGAAGGTCTATAATAATTTTTTTTAAAATACAGAAATGGCATATAATGCAAGAGGAACTTCACTAATGTCCTAATCTTGTGTTTCCCCAGCTCTTGACATCTGCAGTGAAAAAGAACAATCAGATCAACATCTGATTCGTCAGCAGAGAGGAGTCTTGTCATGTGGAGAAACTTGAAATACGTAGGCAGCAGACATGATTAAGAAAGAGAATGAAAGCCCTGCACGTTAATGATTCAACAGATTCCTTTTTACATACAAAAGCAGAACCCACCCTATGCTTCTTAAGTCTGGTTTCACAATAAACGTGAACAATCACAAACACATGAAGGACTGTGATAGACTTCTGCAAAGGATTTACAAACTACTTGGTAATAGAGATTAATGCATCATGGGTTAGAAGCACGTGAGCAAGAAAACAAACTCATATAACTGCAGAGTAACCAAATTTTGATGTGGTAGAATATGTTACAATGTTAGTTTAAAGTAACACTACAGACCAAATGCACTTTAGCTTGCTGCAGTATGTGTCAAGAGTGTGTCCTTTTTTTTTTCTTTTACAAAACGTACATATTTGGGCGGGGCTTGACTGGCTAGCCGAACGGACGCATATTGCACGAGCTCCTGAGCTCAATAAGCTAAAACTACAATTACCTGCAGTCAGGCAGCGGATTCTACCGCAAAACTCACGGGCTGAAAAGAAGGGATCGCGGTGATCTGACTGACACCAAACCCGGATCCTTTCAGGTCCGGATTACCAGCTCAACCTTCTGCAGCATACAAGCGCATCAGGTGTCAGAGAGAGGGCCGCTCTCCAGCGCTGACTCCTACTAATCATAGCGGACATCTGCCTCTCCTCCTCCCCCCTTTGGAGCAGCGGGGGACATCTCAGTCCCAGGAGGCTCCCCACCACTACACCCAATGCCTCTTGGGCAGTATTGCAGAGTGGCATCCAATATGAATAAATTTAGTCTTCGACAGATTCTGGGCAAAATTGGCAGCACGGCAGCCGGGTACACCAAAACCTGACCAGCACACAGCTGAACCTGTGAAACCACAGACCTGCTTGCACAGACCCGCAAAGCACCCAGAGCCGTCATGCATCCAGACGGACCAGCGACGCCCCCGCAAGATGCAGCGATCACTGAAAAGACGCATGCCTGTCACCCCACGGAGGCTTGGAAAACCCAGTAGAAAGCACGTGGCAGTGGGAAGCAAGCTAACGGCACTCTCACATCCACAGCCCCACAAGATGGCGGATCATTATACAGGAACACCATGTGGCACTCAGACGCAGCACATCCTCACACTCTTACAAAAGTTATCCTGCATGAAGCTTGCCTACTGCAGAGCGACCAACGATCTCCCCACAGACTGGGCATTGGATGAGGGGGTAAGAAGACCCAGGCTGCCTGATGGCACATTAAAGTGATGACATTACAGACCCTGTTTAATTTGATGGACTCCTGTTATAAATCTGCTTTTACGTTCTTAAGTTAACCTAAACCTTTATCTTTTACAAAAGCATTGTCTTACCTATGAATTGCCTATATTTTATTTAAGATTGTTTCTCAGTATTTTGTTTATTCTTAACATATGTCTCCAATCAATAGCCTCCGTGTACCTTTCCTAATGGCATAACTGGCAGGTTTTATCTTATATATGACAGCCCTACTTAAACGGTACCCACCCTGCTAAGCTAATTATGCCTGAATTATGTGTCCTCTAACCAGCCTATACTCTACGTGACCTATACCTGATGGTTTGACGGTTTACCCAACCTATGTGTACTGAGGAACACTTCTCTTTGATAATCGCTGTATTACTCTGTTTCCTTAATCTACTCTTACAGTCCAGCTGGTCAACATAATTTTGAGCATTTACTGCAATATAGCAACCTGGACGTATGTTATCTAGCCTGTAACAACCCTATTATTAACAAAAATGTGCTTACTCATCAATACCATGAAAATATTATGTATGACTTATCGTACGCTTGCTAATGCTACTGTGGCCTTGCAAGGCTATCTGTACTACTCTGCACATAAAAAAAAAAAAAAGAAAGAAAAAAAAAGAAAAAGAAAAGTACATATTTCACTAGAAATTGGCAATTTTTTGAATGAACCTTGTTATATACACCTTAAAGCTGTCATTCAGACCACCAGTCCTGTTAATTCCTGGTTGTTTAGCTCAGTGAAAATAAACTCAAGAGGCAGCCAACTGCCCACAGCACCTGCCTTGCAAACACTTCTCATTGAGCTGCACTGGAACGTCTGATTGGACAAACACAGAAAGTCTGGGCTAAGGTAAAAGAGGAGGGCTTGTTAATTTTTTTTACATACACTCCCAATGAAAAAGTGCATAATTAAATGCATGCATGTTTTAATTTCTATTTATTATTTCTATTTGGGCATTGGAGTGTCCTTTTATCTCTATGCATGCCAGATGTGTCTCATGTGACTTAGTAATTGAAAATCCAGATGGCGTGGTTTCTCATTCTCAGGCACAAAATGGCAGACGCTAAAACAGCTGGAGTTTCTGCAAAAGGTTATCCATGACTAAGAAATACTTCTACTGCAGACACCAGTTATTTCCAAACGATTTCATAAAAAATAAAAAAACTCAAGCACAGACCTTTAGATAGTAATCACTAAACAGTGAGCCAACTCAAAAATAGACCAAAATAAACAAAGTGTAACTCTAAACAAAATCCTAGAAAAGCCACTTTGCAATTTCTGCCTCATTTACATCTGGGATTTACTTATTATATTGCTAGCTCTAAGCAGTAGATGACACCTGCAAAATATAATCAAGCCAGCCATAGTGTTACAGGAAATACTTTCCTGAGAAGAGTTTATTGACCAATATTGTTGAAACTTAGGGAACCTCTACAACAAATGTATGGATGTACCCAGCGCAAGGCTGACAAGGCATTTGCCTTGGGTGGCACTTTCAGGGAGCGGCAAAAAAAAAAAGCCACTCCCCCCCCCAATCGCCCTGGCAGATGCCTTGCAGGCTCTTGTCCTGGGGGGCCACCCAAGAGCTGGCCGGATGGCCAACTCAGGGACCCCTGAGGCTGGCGGCAAGGGAGCACCCTCCCGAGCTCTTCCCTGCTCAGCTTTCTCGCGCGCACCGCAGTGATGCAGGTGCCGGAATAAGACGTCACTCCGGCCCCGGCATCACTGAGAGGTGCGTGAGGAAGCTGGGCAGGAGGATCAGAGCTCCCTCGCCACCCGCCTCCACTGTGCACCTGCCTGCCCGACAGACCGCCGAGCTGCAGCCAACCCCACAGGACCACAGGGAAGAATTCACTCCAGCACTCCAACATTTGGCTCCACCCCCGAGGTTGGCATAATCAGAACTGATAATCTCAACCAATCACAATACTTTCCCATAGCCATTAGATTGGCTGAGATTGCCAAGGAGGCGGGCCGGGAGCGGGACCAAACACACCGCTGGCCAATCAGCATCTCCTCCTTGAGATGAATTGCATCTTTTTGAGGAAAGTTCAGTGTCTCCATGCAGAGGATGGAGACCCTGAATATCAGTGCCGCCAGCTGTTCAGCACTGCCCCAGGAAGTACCTCCAGTGCCCATCAGAGGAGTGGCTACTGGAGGTGTCCCTAGGCAGCAATGTAAACACTGCCTTTTCTCTGAAAAGACAGTGTTTATAGCAAAATGCTTGCTAGGACTGACTATACTCACCGGAACAACTAAGCTGTAGTTGTTCTGGTGACTATAGTGTCCCTTTAATCTTAGTAAACACTGCAGTTTATGAAAAACAGTGATGCTTTCACTGGTTGCCAGGTACACAGCCACTAGAGGTATTTCCATAAAATGAAAGGTTTCATAGTCATTGTTATCACAGACAGGGCCCACCTGGCTTTTGCAAATATCTTTGTAGAAATGCCAATAAAAATATTCACACACAGAATGATAAAGCTTAAAGGGACACTACAGGCAGAACCATGTCAGCTTAACCCACTAAGGACAGAGGAAATTGTGCAAGTTCTAAATCAAAACAAAAGCTGGAATTTGACTAATACAAGTCTGTTCCACCATAATTTACTTATTTCATGAGTGTGGAGTGGTCCTTTAATGTAGTGGTTCTGGTCATATAGGATGTACCGGCAGCTTCATCAGTGAAAACACTGCCTGATTTTGAGAAAAGGCAATGTTTACACTGTTCCCTAAATTCACCTTCAAGTGGCTGTCAAGCTGACTGCAGGACTGACATTTAGTGTCTCTATGCGCTGCATTGAGATGCTGAGCGCTCCCAAAAAAGATGCAATATTATATAAAATGGTTGCTGAGGGCCCTGCTCATACAAGCTTACATTCTAGTATTGATTTAATGCATCTCTTTGAGGAGATGCTGCCTTGCAGCGCATGTGCAATAGCCTTCCAATGCTTCCCTATGGGGATAGATGATTTCAGCTGTGGTGGCAATTGTTAGCCCAGCAAACAGGTGAATAAAAGTCAGTAGAAATTTACTACTTTAAAAAGAAGGGTGATGTGCCACAGCTAAGGTTAATCAGAAGTAGATTTCTATTTTTACTTTAAATCATAAAGAAAATCTGCATATATATCATAAGAATGCCCAAGAGGGTTGCATTATTGTTAAAACTATCTACAGAGAATTAACAAATTTAAAATGTCTGTAGCATGAATCATACAATCTAATTGAAACATTGTTTTTCCTATCTGCAGATTGTCTAATTCCATCAACAGCGATAAAATCTAAAGGAGGTAATTACATAAAGATTATATCCCCTCCCGACTAATTTTATCTTGTATTTAGCATTTATTGCAATCATTACACCCACCATACTGAACTTATCACTCATGGGAAAGCCCAATGAAACAATGGACTCAATGGCAGTGCATAACACATTCTAAAATCCAATAAATGACTTTTTCTTAAATTACACATTAGAACATATGAAAATATATCTGTCATGAGCTACCCATTTTTCTACAGTGTAGTATATGTTTTACAATCATCTCCAACAGAGATAAATGAATCAACAACAGACTTGCAAGTTGTAGGCTTGAAAAGCTGAGAAAGTATTATTCCAAAATGGAACAATTTTGGATTGGATTTTGTAACTTATATGTCATGTCACTAAAATTCCAAGTTTAGTGTTAACGGAAGCATGTGTACAGGTCATTATAATCTAAACTGCTGTCTGCCACATTAGCATTGCAGTATTTGTTGTTGCTAAAAATAAAACTGTGATATTCATCCCTTTTAAAGCCGAAGTGTTAATTCCCACCAAATGTTTGTATTTCAGCATATTACAAAAACACATTTTTGTTTAATACGGTTTATAAACCATGGCTGTGATTAATAAAGACATCCTGCTTTTAAATTCTCCTCCATTATGCTTCTCAATCCAATGATTTGTACAGTTCCAGCTTTATTTATTTATTTCACATGATGCCGATTATGGAAACATTAACACCATTGAAAAGATGTTCCTCTGTGCTGGAGAAGGCCTGAATCCACAGGAGGTTTGCAGCCTGCCAAATGTCACATGTGCACTGCACTGGCAAACTGATAAAGCTCTTTGAAAAACAAGGCCTTTTTGTTGTTTTTTTCCTACCTGCTACTGTTGCTCTTCTTTGATTTGCTTTTCCTCTTCATGTTCTCTCTCTCCTTGCTATTCGAAGGTAACATGGAAGCATAACCATGTTCGGCTTCTACACAGAGCGGAATAAACATGTTACATGAGAATTAATAGGCTATGTAATCCTTTCTTTTTTCTTAAACACATAAAGCCAGACATGCGAAAACTGTATTGTTCAAAAATGTATGAAGGTTTTATTTGAGGGCAAAGTGCTAAATAAGAAGTCATCACCATGGAAACCAAAAGAACGCATCTCAACATTTAGCAATTTGCACCTAAAATAGCACCTTTTTTTTTTTTTTTTTAATATAATTTCCCTCAAGATTTGCTCCAAAACCAATCATTTCTAGATGTGGTTGGAAATAGATTGTGCTAAAATAAAGTCAAAGTAAAATAAATTTTAAAATCCAATCCATGTAACTAGTATCCAGTTATTTATAAAATACACACGTAAGCTCTGTGGCTTCAAATGAAGACATTCACAATATTTAGATCTACCAATCTTAATATGGCGTAGGCATTTATTGAAATTATAATTTTACAACAAATTAAAATTGCGGCCTTGACTTTCATCTCTTATAAGACAAACGGCTAGTGTCAACATAATAGTAGAAAATTGTGTGTTGTGACATTTGTACTTTACACAAAGAAAATGCAATGACGACTTGCAGGAACCACACACCTTTTTTAAAAAAAAAAAAAAAATACAAGAAAAAACACACACACTCAAAACGTCTGCAGTGAATATTGGTGAAATACAAACAGTACACAAAGAGCTAAGCTTATTTTACCCCTACCTTCTAGAACTAAAGAAAAACCTATTTCAAAACATCTTCAACAGAGCATGCTGATTTAGTCAAACATTATACAGTGAATTATACAGAGGAATTTCCAGCAGAAAACTATTGCCATGCAACTGTTTTTCATAGCCAGTCCGAGTGTCACAGTTTTTAAAAATACATATACATTCATTAAAAAAAAAAAAAAATAGATTCAATTCCTTGTGAGGAAAAAAAATAATTCTCTCAGGTCTCTCTTTTGCACCTCAAGTAACATGGATAGATAGATAGATATATATGTCATGCTGTGCATCTAAATGCTGCTGACCTTCCTTCTTTTAGAAGCTCCCGAATTTTTGTCTTTTTTTTTTTTTTAATGCAAATGACCTCTATTTTTAGAAGGTGCTTATATTTCTCTACATTGCTACGAGAGAGCATAGAGAAGGACAAGGCTCCATATTTGTGCAAAACATTGCAGTAGCATGTGAATTATGCCATATATTAACATGATAATAGACACCTAGTTACTGATAATGAAAAATAATTTGATGCCAAACACTAAACATACTAATGCACTAAAGGTAGCATGTGCTGCTCTGTAATTGTTTATTAAAGAAAAAAATATTACACAGCTTATGTCCCACCTACAAGCAGGAAATAAAATCTGTATAGATGGTTGAATCATGCAGCGAAAGAAACTGACAGGCTCAACATGGCAAAAAAAAAATAATTAAGTCTTCCTATATGACTATAAGGCAATCACATACTAGTCTTTGATGAATTCAGAAGGACCCACGCTTATGAGTATTTTCTACCCAAATGGTAATAGCACACATACAAAAAAGGAACATCAATGCACAAATCTAAAAATAGTATTTACATCATTCTCCATGCATGACCTGAACACATATTGTCAATATTTAGATATGCTAAAGAGAGGAAATAAATAACACATTAATATATACACACACACACAGACATGCATACAATCATTTTTTTTTTTTGCTACTGTGGATGTTTATATAATGTTAATTATGTGGCACTGCGAATAGAATAAGTTGTAAATAAGAGGTTTTAATGCCACAGACAGTGCATAGAAAATGTACACATTTATCTTCTCAAAAAACCTACATCAACAAGCATTCTGTTGATAAACACCATAAACTAGCTTTCTAAATCTATATTTATCCATGACATTCGGTGTCCATTCATACATACACATGATCCATGCCCATTTACTCACACATATCTGTGCACATTCGCGGATCCATGCCCATTTACTCACACATATCTGTGCACATTCGCGGATCCATGCCCATTTACTCACACATATCTGTGCACATTCGTGGATCCATGCCCATTTACTCACATATCTGTGCACATTCGCGGATCCATGCCCATTCACTCACATATCTGTGCACATTCGCGGATCCATGCCCATTCACTCACGCATACGCGCGGATCCATGCCCATTCACTCACGCATACGCGGGGATCCATGCCCATTCACTCACGCATACGCGGGGATCCATGCCCATTCACTCACGCAGATCAGACCCTTTTCACTCACACAATCTGTGTATTCATGAACATAAGGAATCATGTTTATATACATACATACATATACATATATATATATATATATATATATACACACACACACACACAAAGTGAAACTGAAATCACACAGTACTGGGCACATACACAGCATACTGTGTGTAGCTCACTGACAGTTTGTGCACACATACAATGCACCCTGTATTATTAGTGTCTGACAGTTTGTGCAGCCTGTATTATGTATTATTATTTATTATTATTGTTGTTATTAGTGTGTGACAGTTTGTGCAGCCTGTATTATTATTAGTGTGTGACAGTTTGTGCAGCCTGTATTATTATTATTATTATTGTACAGCTGGCAGGGCTTTCTCACCTCTCTTTTATTAATTATTATTATTATGACAGTTTGTGCAGCCTGTATTATTATTATTATTTATTATTGTACAGCTGGCAGGGCTCTCTCACCTCTCTCTATTATTATTATTAATTATTATTATTTTGTATTATTATTATTGTACAGCTGGCAGGGCTCTCTCACCTCTCTCTATTATTAATTATTATTATTATTATTATTATACAGCTGGCAGGGCTCTCTCTATTATTATTATTTATTATTATTATTATTGTACAGCTGGCAGGGCTCTCTCTATTACTATTATTATTATTTATTATTATTATTATTATACAGCTGGCAGGGCTCTCTCACCTCTCTCTATTATTATTATTTATTATTATTATTATTGTACAGCTGGCAGGGCTCTCTCTATTACTATTATTACTATTATTATTATTTATTATTATTATTATTATTATTATTATACAGCTGGCAGGGCTCTCTCTATTATTATTTTTTATTATTATTATTGTACAGCTGGCAGGGCTCTCTCTATTATTATTATTATTATTATTATTATACAGCTGGCAGGGCTCTCTCTCACCTCTCTCTCTCCGCTCCAGGTACTCGGCCGCCTCCAGCAGCATCTGAATGTTGACACAGACCGAGGCCGCCATTTTCCAGCCGGTGAGAGCGGAGCTGGGACGAGCAGGGAGAGCTGGAGGGCCGGGTGAGGGGCTGTGCGGTGAGTGCCAGCGGGCCGGAGGTGCGGGGCGCGCGGTGTATGCCGGGTACGGCTGGCGGAGCGCGGCCCGGGGTGGCAGGCGAGGGTTACGCTGTGCAGCTCGGTGTACCCGGGGGCAGCACTGGGATTGTTGTTTTGGATCCTGACAGACACGCCTCGGCCAGCCCCGCCCCCTGTCGGACTGCGTAACCCCGCCCATCGGCGCAGTGTTGGCACTCGATTAGTCGGATTTTGATCAGGCCCCGCCCTTTTGCTGGGCCGGGCTCTTCGAGGACTGCGCTGATTGGCGTAAAAAAAGCAGGAGGCGGCCGCAGCTGTCACCCAGTGCTGGCTTCTCATTGGCTGACTAGCTGACAGCTGGACAGTCTTCTGGCTTCTGATTGGCCAGGAGCTGGCAATGTGTCGCACATTCCCCGCCTCCCTGTAAGCAATTACGTCATCATAATCCAGCTAATCAGCAGTGTATTTCCTATATATAGTCTATAGGAAGCCATGGTGCCCAGTGCCCACACTCAGTGTCATGTCAACATCATGCTATTCTCACACTGTGCACTACATGGGAACAATAAACACTCACTGTATATATTCCTCATTACCAAAGCTATATGGACACCTGCTTGCTGATCATGCCATTTGCTTGCTGTCTAAGATCCCTTAAAGGAACAGTGTTATAATTGTTTATTAAAATTAATCACATTTATTATATGCTAGCAGGGTATTATTTTCTATTGAATATGTATAAGTAGAGATTGCAGCCGTATTAGTCCAGTGATGCAGATGTTAAAAAACATAAAATTCGTATCTTGTAATACCTTTTTTATACCTTTTTTATTTTAAAGACAAGCTTTCGGGAGAACCTCCCTTTCTCAAGTCTGAAGCATTTCTGAGCAAAATGACACATGGAATTCAAAGTTGAGTTGTGATACAGGGGTTATAATGACATGAGTGCAGATAAGACACAGGTTTGATAGAAAACAGACACCATTCTCTCAGAGACACCATTCTCTCAGAGGGTTGTATATATATATAGTTTGCAGAGGGAGAAAGCAATTACTACTGAGACTGTAAGTAACTCCCAATTTCAGCCTCTCTGCCCCACTACAGTCTTAGCCCCTCAATCGCAGCCCCTATACCCCACTACAGTCCCTTTCCCCCCCAACTGCAGCCCCAAACTCCCCTACTATATCCCCTATCCTTCCCATTACACCATCTAACCCTCCCACTTCAGCCTCTATTCCCTCTACTTGCAACCCATACCCCGACTACAGCCCCTAACTCCCCCTTTTCACCCCATACCTCCACTATTGCCCCAACTCCCCTTTTGCACCCCATTCCCTGATTATAGTCCTTACCTCCCACTACAGTCCCATATGCTCCCAACTGCAGCCCCTCTCCCCCAATTGCAGCCCATATTCCCCACACTACAGTCCCTTTCCCTAATTGCAGCAATCCACCTACTTAAGCCCCTAACATTCCTAATACAGCCCTTATCCCCCACTACATTTCCTAACCCCTCATTTATAACTCATACCCCACACTACATCCCCTGTCACTCCATTAGTGCCCCTAATTCCTAAATTACAGCCTCCATCACCCAATACAGCTTACTGCCAGTGCCCCTCCCGATATTAGGCTCTGGATTCGTTTCTGCCACGTCAGCCACTCCAGGTAGGTACTAGCCTCTGGAGAAACCGAGTGACAGACGTAGTGAGAGAATGACATAGTGCGCGTCCTGATTTTTCAAGGAGAGACCAATCATTTGCTTGGGTTTTGTTTTCTCTCTTTATGACCCTCTGCGAGAATGGTGTCTATTTTCTATCAAACCTGTGTCTTATCTGCACTCATGTCGCTTTAACCCCTGTATCACAACTCAACTTTGAATTCTATGTGCCGAAAGCTTGTCATCACAAAATTCTGTCAGTCCAATAAAAAAAGGTATTACAAGATACAAATTTCATCTGTGTTTTATAAAAGTAAAAAAGTAGACGCTAAAAGGCATTTGCATACTGGAGAGCTCGGTGACTTTAAGCATGGTACTGACATTTATTATTATTATTATGATATTTATAGAGCGCCGTCAAATTCTGCAGCGCTTTACAATGCGTGGACGAACAGACACGTAGTTGTAACCAGACAAGTTGGACACACAGGAACAGAGGGGTTGAGGGCCCTGCTCAATGAGCTTACATGCTAGAGGGAGTGGGGTAAAATGACACAAAATGGTAAGGATAGTATTAGACTAGTGACAGTTGCAGAAGAGGAATCAGTCGGGAGCTATTAACAGTTTAATTGATACGCTTTTATGAAGAAGTGGGTTTTTAAAGATTTTTTGAAGGAGTGGAGACTGGGTGAGCATCTAATGGAGGAGGGAAGCGAGTTCCACAGGAACGGTGCAGCCCTCGAGACACCATCTATTTGACACCATCTATTGCTACAAATCCGTTTGTGGCATTTCTTCCTTACTAGATGTGCTCCAATAAAATGTAAGTGCTATTACTGTGAAGGGGAAACATTTAGGAGCAACTACAGCCCAACCACAAAGTTGTAGAGAAACATAGAAACATAGAATGTGACGGCAGATGAGAACCATTCGGCCCATCTAGTCTGCCCAATTTTCTAAATACTTTCATTAGTCCCTGGCCTTATCTGATAGTTAGGATAGACTTATGCCTATCCCACGCATGCTTAAACTCCTTTACTGTGTTAACCTCTACCTCTTCAGCTGGAAGGCTATTCCATGCATCCACTACCCTCTCAGTAAAGTAATACTTCCTGATATTATTTTTAAACCTTTGTCCCTCTAATTTAAGACTATGTCCTCTTGTTGTGGTAGTTTTTCTTCTTTTAAATATAGTCTCCTCCTTTACTGTGTTGATTCCCTTTATATATTTAAATGTTTCTATCATATCCCCCCTGTCTCGTCTTTCCTCCAAGCTATACATGTTAAGATCCTTTAACCTTTCCTGGTAAGTTTTATCCCGCAATCCATGAACCAGTTTAGTAGCCCTTCTCTGAACCCTCTCTAAGGTATCAATATCCTTCTGAAGATAAGTGAGGTCTCACCAGTGTTCTGTACAATGGCATGAGCAGAGAGAACACATAAAGAGTGGGGGTGCTAGTGCGGAAGTGTCAGGGTCATCAGCGTGCTATGACACTGACACTTCCGCACTAGTTATGAGTATTTGGGTCTGGCTGGGTTTCCTGCATCCCAGTCAAGTACCTTACCCTTGACTCCACGCATCTCTGGTTCTTGTCATGTAGTTCCTTGGTTCTTCTTGTCTGAGTTTCTACATCTGGACTTGCACACCTGTTCTTGTTGGATACTCGTGGTCAGATCATTTGTTTCTGTTGGTTCCTGTTTGCTGTTATTCTGACTCCTGGTTTTTGATCCTCTGCTCGTCCTTCCTATCTGCCTGTCTACTGCCTGCCCTGACCTTTGGTTCCGTCCCTGACTACGCTTTTGGATATCCCTTGTCTGTACCTCGCTCCTGGAAGCACTGGTTGTTATCAGCCCCAGTGCACTGGTTCACAGCCTTGGGGATTTCTACCTTGAGTCCCCTTGGCCTGTGTATAATTGCAAATGGTGCTTTATCTCTGCGTGTCAGACTCCCACTCCAGGTAAGATCACTGACAGGAAGCAAGTAGTTTTACACAAGTCTCACATTAACATGTGCAATGCGTCGGTTGGAGTGTTGTGTTCTCTGGAGTGAAGAATTACGTTTCACTATCTGGCAGTCTGATGTAAGAATCTGGTTGTGGAGAATGCTAAGAGAAGGTTTCTTTTTGGAATATAAGGTTACTACTGTAAAATTTGGGTGGAATAATAGCATGTGATAATTTTACAAAAACATTTTATACAACTGGATGTTTCTAACTTTGCAGAGGCTATTTTCTGTTCCAGCATGACTGTGCACAAAGTAAGGTCCATGAAGACATGTTTTGATGAGCTTGCTCTAGAGGAACTCGAGTGGCATGCACCGAGCCTTGGCCTTAACTCTATTAAACACCTATCTATGGAATGAATTGGGACACCAAACTTTCTCATCCAACATCAGTGCCTGACAATACAAATATCGTTTTGGTTGAATGGGCACAAATTTCCAAAGACACAATTCAAAATCTAGTGGAAGGCTTTCCAAACATCATATTAATGGTCATGGTTGTTGAATGGGATGTTCAACAAGCTCATATATGTGTCCATATACGTTTGGCCATATAGTGTACTTCTTTTCTTTGCATTTTCTGGCTTAGCTTTGCATAGTTGCCAATATTTTAAAAGAAATTCCAGGGGCACTTTGGGGCAGACTTTCAATGTATCCAATACTTTAACATGACATTTTTGGTGACTATTTGGCAGAATTTATTAAAACTATCAGTTTTTGTTCATCTGTTCCCTGCCATGTGACAATATGCCATTTTTTTAGTGACATCATGGATTTTTAAGTCTTCTGACACTTTTCTCCATAGTACATTCCTCCCCACAACCACAGTCTGCTTTCAGTGCTCCCTTCTCACATTTTTAATGCTGCAGAATATCTTGGCATATTATAAATGATAATAATAATTGACATGCTTCAACTGTGCAGTGTATCTAAAAAGGCGCAAGAACTTAACTGCAACATATCTATAGGCATTTTTATCACACTTCCCAACATTGGGAGATATGGAACCAGGATGTGGTGGCATGTCTTCAGGGGAGCATTGCCATTTAATGCAACTCACCCTACTGGTGAAGCTCGTAATGGGAGGTCCTGCCTACCCACTAAAAAAGGAAATGTAAGCCTGGCAAGCATGCCAGGTTGACAGACAGTCTCTTGGCCAGGCCATAACCTACAGAACTAAGAAGAGAGCATGGTCTTTGTGCCAGCCGCACAGCTGAATCTAAAAACCCCAACCTTGACTCTATCTCGCTACTACCTTTTGCCTCCAAGATCTTCGGGAGAGTTGGAAATTCGCTAGATTGATTGACTTCCTTGATCCAACTCTGCTCGAACAGCTTCAGTCTGAATTCCGCACTTGTCACTATATCGAAATGTTCCTGACCAAAGTGTCCAATGATTTAATTGCTGCTAATAGCAGTGGTCACTGCTTTCTTCTAATTCTCCTTGACTTTTTTGCTGCTTTCGACACTGTTGATCATCAACAACTTCTTCTCATCCTCCATAATCTCAGTCTACAAGACTATGCTCTTTCCTGGTT